AACTTCTAATAGATTCTCGGATGGCACGATTTTCAAATGAAACCGGCAACGAGAAATTTTAAAATCGGTAGTTCTAGAGATATTTTCTCACCGTAGGTGGAATTCAATCTTTTAAGTTAATCTTCTAATCATTTTTAAATTGAAATTTTAAGATCGGTAGTTTGCAGCAAAAATTTCTCATAATCTTTAGTCGTCACATATTGTTCATTAAACTTCAACTTACGCTTGCTAACCATGTCGTTCGAGAAATGTAAACTTGATTCGTGATAAAATTGTCATAGAATGTCCACGTTGCTTGAACAGTGGAATTGGCATTGCTTCGTAAATTTTAATGTTACCTTTGTAACTGACAAATACGCATAATTATTCCGTTAAATTCATATATTTCAATTTTTCCATTGGTGTTATCTGTTAGTGTGACGCCTAAATATTTAAATTTACTTTGTTTTATTTTAGGTTTCATCTTAAGATCTTACGGCGTTTGCTCCAAAATTTCATTTCATAGGTTTACTTTTATAAAACGTTGCCTTATTACAGGACTTGCATGCCATCTGGAGTCATTCTTGACTATTAAAAATTGCCTTACACTCCTGCAAACAGCAGTGTCATTGATTAAACAAAAGTATTAAAACAACTTTTAAATTTTTCGAGACTTGTATTCAACTTTTGGAAAAATCATTTTAGGTTAATGATGGAATTAAGGAGCACTGTTGAGCTCATTGGTTTACGTCCAGTTCTTTCATAAATGTTAAAGTTCATACATCTGATTTCTTCTAGATTTACTATTACACCCCTCTTATTTATAATCTCCTATAGGATTGCTATTTAGCCGAATGTTTCAATTTCTAACTTTCAATTGAATTCAGTTTAAAAAATATTAAAATATCTTGCCACTGCAACTTCGAATTCTTAGATCTTATTCTTCTGACAATGACATTCCATTGTGGGTGTATCTCAAAGCTATTTTTCATAGATTTTAGAAGTAGTACAGTAGAAAAAATGGTATAATTTCTAAAGTTTGGTCTAGATTATTCTTTAAATGAGCTTCAGAGCAGTTTCCAATATTCTGATACATCTTAAGTGTTCATATTGCGGGAAGAAAGAAGTATAACAATCTGAGTTTAAATTTCAGATAAGAGTTCCAAGGTAATGACACTGCTTCATGATTCTTAAATTCTAAGAACCTGAATCATTGGGATTAGTTTGTGTTCGCTTCATCTATATTTTCTCCTAAATACTGAACTCTCCTTAATATTGTAGTGGTATTTTCCAGTACTACAGATGGTCAGGTTTTCACACATTAGATATCGCTATTTTTTTAAGGAGTCTTCCGGAAGAAGGCTTCTATTTTTAAGGAGTTTCTTCCATTCCTCTTAAGTTTCTTCACTTCAGGAGATTTCTTTTATATTCAGACAGTTCTGAGATAAACTTGGGTTATCCTGTTCAGTGTGGGCAGGATTTACATCGCCAACGAATCTCTCCTCAGTTGAAATATCTACTTTCTCGACAATATCCTTCCTTAACATCTACATCATCTCATCTCCTTTAGGTTCCAACGAGTGGAGTCAGTATCTCGAAGGATACCTTAACCAGTTCATTTTTTCTCGAGGATCAAGTCTGCCTTTTGGGTTTCTCCCACCTAAAGGAGCAGGTAGTTACTGACCTTACCCTTACCCCTGCATCCCTTCAAGGTTTCTCCCCTCAAAGGAAGAAGCTGGTCGTTGACCTTACCCTTCACCATCCATCTCAAATGCGGAACTTCATTACCACCAGGAGCCAATTGTTGCCAAAAGCGACTTCTGAAGGCTGCTACCAATCCGAAGTTATGATACTAGTCTGTTTTAAATTTTTTGTTTGTGGCATATATCTGAATTTATACACGTTTTGAATGCTTCAAAAACTGTAGTTTGCTTCCTATATACAATTGAATCATTAAGTCAAAAAAATTTATCTATTTTTTATTGGTTCATCTGGTATGCACTTTATCCTTCCGATAATGGATATGATTTAAAAAGTAGTCTTCTCGCATGAACCATTAAGATTTTTTAATTTAATTTTTGTAGCATTTTGATTATGCTTTCGGGACTAACCCTAATTATGAATACTAGAAAGGAACTAGTTTGTACTTTGCAGGGACTTGAATCGGTGGTCTTTTTAAAAATTACTAGTAACAATATCGAATAACAAAGCAATTCATTACTGCAAATATGCATTTTCAATAACGGTTTCAGGTTTAGACGTAAGAATCAAATTTCTCCAATTAAATAAAAGATTAATCATAAAGATATTGAAAATTAGAAGTTACTTTTTCTTTCGTTCGGCCTCACTTTAAAAATGACAATTGGGGAAAATTACGTTACGGTCCATTGCTCTAAAATGTCAGAGGATGATAGGATGCCCCCCCTTTTGTTTCATTATTTGTCTATTAGGCGTGGTCACATTTTGGCTTCTTGATTTCCTTATGCCACACAAGTAACCCTCGCAACACATTTGTACCAGGTTTGATGTACATTTTTTCATATATGGGACGTGATACATGCGCGCGCATTTGGAAAATAGAAATAATTAAGAAGAGACGATTTTAAACATTGAAAACTACAACGAAAAACAAATTCACCTTTTCCACAGAAATGTAATTTTGAGGTAGACGAGCACTTTAATTCCTTTCCATATCGGTCGCCTTATAGGGGCAGACGCAACTGAAGGCAGTATAGGCGAAGGTACTCCGAAAACAAACTATGATGAAAAGCCGAAAAAAGCAACTCGCACTTCAATACGTACTCAGCTTCCGTAGGACGGCGAGTCAAATGGAAAGATACTAACATGCTACGTAATAAAATGATGCATTCAATTAAGCAAGTCTTACTTTGGAATTGTAGAAATCGGAGATTAATTTTTTTGCCAGATATTTGCAAATCGTACTAGTTTTAAAGATCTCTTCCAGATTACTTTAACAATTCTTAAGTAGATTTATCAAAATTCACACGTAACTTCAGAAGCTTAATAAAATGAGGCATGCTTCTTTGTGATCAGTTTATGGAAATGAGATATAAGAGGGCAGGGGCGGATGAAGGTTAAATGCATTGGTTGGCCTTCATGGAGAATCGCCAGTAAAGTGTATTTAAAGGGAAGGAAATTGAACCATTTGGAATTAGTTTACTTACGGTCACGTTGTCTAGGAAGTAGATTTGAAAAGTGTTTAATGTGAAAGTCGACTTAAATTCAAAGGATAAAAAGGATACTGAAATAGAAACATTTTAAGAGTGAAAACGAATAGGGATAAGTAAATGGCGGTACTTAAGTTACTTGGTTTGCATAGAAAGTTAATTATTTTTCTCTTTCTTTAAAATAATGTAAACTTCTATTTGCAATTTAACTTGCAAAACGTTTTAAAAAACCAAAATTAGTCTCAAAACGATCTCTATTATCACTCTACCAGATTACTTGAAGTGAATGTTGTAGAGCCAGTAAGTTGAGAATTCTAATGTAATTTGCACTTGAAAGAGGTTAGTTTTTATTTTATTAGATATCGATTACACATACTGAATTAATCAATTAAATTGGGTATATTCCATTAAAAGCGTAAAATGTGGGCTATAAAGATAAAATTATTTATAATTAAAATTTTGGTTTCCATTTTTGATTTAATAAAAACAGTAAAAACTGTATGACGTTTGGGAAATATCTCCGCGGGTTTTGAGTTAGCATCTCAAAGCATCAAGGTGGAGCTCATCTTAATCTGTACTTCAGATAAATAAAATCAATGAAAATGTATAGTAACCGGGGTTCCATAATTCAAAAGGTAGTTGCAAATGTCTTTGCATAATCCAACAGGAAAAGAAAGTGAAATAAATTGATCGGAAGGTGAAATTGACCTATTTTTCATATCACTGTAAAGCAACGTCAATTTTACAATTAAAACTTTACAATTACAAATAAAATTTTACAATTTTCTGTAAAAGAATTATTTGTATTAGTCTTAATTTTGCGGAAATAACTTGTATCTCGGTAGGTTGCCTCAAACGGACTTAAGTCTTGGAACAGATATTCTTGCATTAGAGAATTTTAATAATCTATTAATTATAATATTAATAATTAATAATATGAAATTAATAGAGTGCGAAAACAGCATTAAGACTAAAGAATGTAAGATGAAGTCTCAAACTAGTTTAGAGGAAGATCTCAAATTCTTCAGGAGAACACCGACGAAATAAACCAATGGGATTTAACATTCCCATTAGGTATATATTAATATATTGCTTTATTCTAAAGTACGAAGATTTTCCTGCCAACAGCCTGCAAAAACCTACAGCCAGAAACTTATATTTTTCTCTTAGTTACAGGCAAAACTTTAACTTTTAACTCGTTTTCTGTACATTTTGACTTATTTTTACAGAAATTTATGAAACGGACATGCAGTTCGAAGAGGTTCCTGGGAGATTGGTGTGAATTATTGTGGATCATCACTCATTAATGATCAATTAAAAATGAACGATAAATTTGAAATACTAACAAGACTTTTTTCTTTCAGCAATATTAACTTTTCGATTTCTTTACAGGAAAGTAGATTCTATACCCAGCAACTGATTACATCAAATTCCTTCATCTCTACCAAATTGTACGGAATGAAATGTGCATGCATCATAAAAATACTAACCAAATGGTATCATGGCATGAAATGTGGCGAAAACTGTAGTTAGTTAATAGTATAGTTTATAGTTTAATTGTGGTGGTAGTTAATTGGTAAGCAGTACATACGAAAGTTATCGAATGAAATGCTTATTTCTTTTAAAGAGTAGTACCAAAGTTAAGCTACGGAAAAGTGAATCTAAAACTCGGATTATTTTTGCCCAAGTTCAATTTTGATATGTGAATGTACAGTATATACAAACGAGTACTCTAAAATACGAACATATTTTTCTCATGACTAATAACGCCAAAATGTGAAGTTGGTATTAGATTGTAACGAGTGAAGGCTTTGCACCAAGGTTTTAGACGAAATGCTCTCGTATATTTTTCTGCACCAGGTTTTGAGTTCCGGACCCTCGCTCGAGGAGTGTGGCTGCCTGACTCCGCAAGGCGCCGAGGTGCAGGTGGATTTTCCTGAAGACGCCAGCGGCACGCTCGTTGCTTTGTGTGGGTGGAGACTGCCTCTGAAAACGGCGCACTCCGAAGGGACTAGAGGAATGAAGGTGCTGGGCAGCGGCTTTGAGTCATCGTCTCAACCGAAGTCTTGTGAACGAGAAGGTCATCGTTCAGCTAAGATGTCAAGGTCGGTACTCAAAACCTTAAAAGAAAATAAAAATAGTTCATAACATTCCTGTGTTAGAATTCAAATTGGAATTAGTATAAAAATGTGTACCAGTTTTCACGTTACCATTTAACAATTTTAAAACATTACTTTTTCCCTAGTTTCGAATTGTATTAAATATTCTTTTGCAATATTTTCACAATTTTAGACTTCGTTTGTTCTGAGGTTTTGCGTCAAATTTGAAGGTTTCTCATCAGTTGAACATGAAAAATACAGTTTGTTCATAGCTAGGCCACCATTCTTTGGTGGTTGAAGGCCTGTTCTATAAAATTATACGGAAATTAAAATTCCTTAAATATCATTTTGGTCTTGAAATGTCATTTGGAAATTGCGAATGTCTTAAAAGCTTTACATTTCTTTTAACATCATACGTTATGGAAAGTTGTTAGCTTTTGGCGGTTACTAAGAAAATAGACATAAATCCCTAAAGTATTCTACTGGCTGTTACATAATTACACGCTAGTAATGCAACGTACGTTCTCAAGTTTTCAGATGGACAGACAAGAGATTATTGCAACTCCCATTATAATCTGATACGATGCGTCCTATGTCCTTTTTATCTAGGTTGGCTTATCCTACAGGAACACATACTTTTTTGAAGAGAGGTAGTCTGACAGATGACTTGTTTTGGGACAGGTATGCGGGTGGGTAAGAGTTTCGGTAGTAGGATAGATGGAGTTGGTGGAGAAAAACCATTACTTTAAGAATACATAAAGGCTACCGTTACGAATCCACATCAGACCAAAGAAAAATTAGCGTGCAATCAGCAGACTGCTAGAAGAATAATAGTCGCATTTCATTAAACTGCCCTAGTGCCCTAGGCATTAGTCTTAAAATTCTTACATGTAAGACACAAATAATGCAACTGGAAATAAATGTTCTCGCTGAGTTAGGTCATGGAAAGTTTCTTTTTGCATCGGCAACGTTAGTTTTTTCCCCAAAATTTATTAGCAACCTATTTCAAACCTTTAAAATTTCCACACTTTATCACAGAACCACACTTTTCCAACGTTAGACCATCATTTGTACGTAGTATTTGTAACGCACTGAAAGCTAAAGGCTTAATTTCGTGCTTCTACGCTCTGGGAATTTGACTTCGAATCGCCCAACGCCGCTCCTCCATGAACGCTCTTCGCCTCAGATGGACTAATGTCGTCGGGAAGTCCACAGCAGAACTTAACACGAGACAAGCGCTCTGATAAAGTAAGGGCCGACCGCCTCTAGAGTAAATGCTTGAAAAAGTCTGCTAACTTTTTATCTCTGAAGAATTAAATATACAATTTTGTTGGTGAGGACTATAAATTTTAGACTTCTACTATTCAAATGTTAAGTCTCAAGTTTTCAATCAAATTTTGGATTTATAATAAATCATGATTAAAAACTTGTTTATAGACTATTTGGGCACAAAAATATAAGCACTTAAATAATTATTTCAGTTTTAATAAGATACAAAATTGGTTTTCCCCCATTCTCCACTACAAATTTTTGACTCATAATTGATGTCACAAAGTTAAAAGGTCGAAACGCTCAAAAGTATTTTCCTCTTTATACCAGTTTGCTAACAAAATCTCTCGTCGTCATAATTTTTTAAAAAACTCTGACATACAGATGGATCAAAATTAAGATAAAATTAAAATAGATGTAAGGATCGAAGATTTATTTTCTTCAAAGAAAATGAGGGGAGATATGTCCTTTAAAAAATTACTTTTTGCCGTGGTGCTTGTTATTGAAACGTAACTTTTGTACTGTTAGTGTACTGAACGGACGTAGTTCCATCTGCCCTTTAGCAGTGACAGATGTATCTTAATGATCAGTTTGAACAATCATTTTACCAGATTATCAATGTGCCAGTTCAGTCAATACTAAGCAGAACAACCCAATATTGTTGTAGCTTGTTGCTTTCCCCGAGATGTCATTCGTATCCAAAGTGTGCCTATCACTCTAGTGCTGGGTCGATGCCTGCTATCAGGGATGTCTCAGGGTAACTCTGTTAAACGAAGTTCTTACCACGTCAATAGGAAATTTAGTGCGAATGGACACTACTATGCCAGTCGGAAACATTATTGTGGACTATACTCTATATTTAATTTAAAATTAACGTCGTATGTAGTCCAGAAGATTTTCAGAATTTAAACGTAACTAAATCATAACATTAAGATAACTAATTTTACTGTAACATTAAAGGTTGATGCAATTAAACATAAGATTTATTTAACCTTTTTTTTTTTTTGTTTCAGACCAGCATCTGCAGGAGAAACTTCAAATAGTCAACGATTCTCTGTAACACAGCTTAGTTAACAATAGTAATGAAATAAATAATTAAAATTGTTTTAACATGTGGAAGTGTGTTGCATAATTTAAGACGCCAAACTAATTAGGTTAGTCTTGTAAATATGAGTCGATTAACTTATTCTCGTTTTTACACTTTAGATGGTAATAACTGTCTTCAAGTTTGAGACTGAATTGACTGCTAATAAAGCGTTAAGAAATATGCAACTTCACTAGTAATTTTGTGTACCTGGTGCACCAGTTACATAAAATTAGATTTTCATAAATGTGGTTGAATAGCTTTAAATGTAATAATATTTTAGGAATGAATTTTGTGAACTTACTGTAAATTTCACTAATATATTTTGTATGATATTGTTGTAAAGTGACATAAGGTTATAAGTTCATATTTTTGTGTAATGATTTGATACAACAATACGTTTTAAGACAATTTTTAAATTTCTTGAATTTGGAGCAATATGACTCTACTAGTGTTCCCGCCCATCGTCCCAAATCAAATGTAACTGGCCAGATTTCTAAATTTTGTGGAAAATGTATCTTGTTACAAAACTTCAAACTATTGAATTGAAAACTACATTGAAATTGTATGCTTGGAACTCTATTATTGATTGTGAAAGAGATAAGCTGAATTTGAATAATCGTTTAACAATATTTTTGTTCAAAACCCCAAACAGAAACCTCAAGACTACTGATCAAAACTGAATACGTACCTCTTATCCAGTGAGGCGCGCGGGTCTGAAGACGCGCAACACGCACATCAATAAATTTTTATACCCCTAAAATAATAGTAAGGACGGATCTTTATTTTTCATGTTACCTCGCTTGACAGATTTACTAGGTATCAACGTAACAATTTTGTGGAATATTTCGTTAAATCAAATACTGCTTTAAATAAGATCTTCCCTAACTGAAACATATTTCTTGACTTTCGAAAACTCTCTTCGATTCCTGATCGAAAATTTTTCAAATAGTGAACACTAATTTGATCTGTTATAGAAAATAACCAATACTCTAATGATTCAAGCCACACTTAAGCATTTATACCAAAAATGTATGTTTCGTCAACCACGCATAAGAACATGAAAATTTGAGTCGAATAAGATAGTCGGATGGCTGTTTTATTTGACCTACTCACGAAAGTCTTTCTTTACAATACAATCTCGTTTGGGAGTTGACATTCCATCGGCTGATTTGGTGGCCTTGCACCCCACCCCCGCGTCGACCCACAGCTCTGCACCGTGCCCCCCCCCTCCGTTCAAGGCCGTTCGGGTGTCTTAGGGCACCACCCGAAGCTCGCTGGATTCGCCGCTCGCTGCGTCCGGTCGCCGGGATTTTCACCAGCGCAGACCGCCACAATTCCTCGGCGAATCGCTTCTACTGTACAAGTCCTTCCCGATCGTGGGGGCCGCTACCGTAGTTCCTGCATCCATAATATTCATTCCATCGTAAAATTCTTTCAATTCCCACTACATTTTATCACTGGCCAATTGAAACTTGTCGCACTTAATTATATTCCGTTATTTACTACCAAAGTCATGGTATTTTCGCAGTTCTGCCGCTCAATTCCGTTAACGCCACCACATGCATGTTTTCCTCTTCTGCAGTTCTAACAAAAATTTGGTTGAACAATCAATTGGAAGTGTTTTTTTTAATTAATAAGTTAAGAGTATGCACATCATCCCGATCCAGAGAGACTCACCTCTTGAGATATCTACAGCTGACGCAGGAGGCAGGTTGGTATCGCCCATGGCGCCCACTTTTAAGATACATGCAGCGCTAGCGTCTTGACATCTTCCCCTATGTCGAACACTCACGTGACTCGTCACATTGTGGGAGCTAGTTTAGGTTGGCTAGGATCGGTACGCACGTCACCGGCGTTTTCCGACGGGCAGGTTCGTCACAAAATAAATCTCATACTTTTGAAGCAACTAACGAAGTATTTCCTATAGTTTCTTACACATTTAAGGAACAAAAATCAGTGTCATTTTATTCCTACTCCTCGCGAATACATCTGAAAATGTTATTTATATATTTATATTCCATTATCGATATACACACAAGTCAGTAAATTTAAATGCCTGTCATTTAATCACATTTTAGACAATATTTTCTCAAAAAGGCTTCAAATTTGTTTCTTATAACTTTTCGTAGGGATAGTGATAAAAATATTCTGTAAGATGACATAAAAGCTATATTTCTCCATTCTTTAAAAAAAATGCAAAACCTTTTTATTTGTCTCTCACGTCAATAATAATTACTTTGTTCACATTATTACATTTATGAATACATATGTTTTAAATGTCTTATAAAGTTTCTCGAAAACTCAACAGTTATCTTTGAAAATTAGCTCAAATTTCCGCCCTTTCAAAAAAATCTCAATCGCCATTTTCCCAAAAATGGATCCATTTTTTTCATCTTTTCTAATGGGTAGTGCTAATTGTACTGTTTAATATGACATAAAGTGCATTTGGGTGTATTATTTTGTTTTTTTCAATAATTTACAGAAATAAAATAGTTTGAAATATTTTCAGACCGTTGATATGCACATTTCCGGCCATTTGTAAACACTATTGCTTTTGTGAGTTGATGTGATTTAACTGACTTTAAATGAAGTTTTAGAAGAATCAAAAAGTTCTGTGAACTTCAAATTTTGCTTCTACAGTAAAACGTAAAAGCCATTTCTTAAAAATGGTTCCAAGTGTATCATTGAAAATTTCCATTTAGGACGGAACTTATGAATTTAATATAAATAACAATATTTTACTATTCTTAAATATTCTTAAAGTAATATTCCGGTTCTACTATTTAAAAACTGAAAATGTGAGAAAATATTTTTTTTTAAATATACATTGGACGGCGATAGATGGTAGCTGACAAGAGAATGTGGCAAGTCCAAATAGCTAGCACAGGCCAAAGAAAGTAAAAAACTAGTTCGGCTGAGCCACTCTGTATCACCACTAGTTAAAACTGTCAACGCTAGTTTCATCCAGGTCAATAATGCCCTCGAAGAGGGAGGACCACAGAAGTTAATATGTAGGGAATATTGCCAGGGTTTGTCAAAGTTGGATTCCCTAATAGAGAAAGGTGTTTGCCAAATACGCGTGATACAAAAGTACGAGATTTTCTTTATCTACCCCGATTTCTTCATCTCTGAATGACAAGTTAAAATTATTGCTAAGATTATTTGAACTCTTTTAGAAAGAACTTTTTGACAAATTCTTTCTTCTGTAAATTATTTTAGTTGGATTGATTTTTAGTGTTAATGCAATTTTGTAGTTCAGGTGCATTGCAAATTCTGGTTGAGAATTTTTTCCTTAATGGAATGAAAAGGATACAAATAATGACATGCTCCTTAATAATCCTCAGTAAAACAATCGGACGGAATTATTCATTTCCCTGACACAGGCATTCAATAAGTTGTTTTTATTGTAAAACGGAAAGAAAATATCTTACGTTATTGCTCCCCTTGGATTTGAAAACAATAATCGCTCCCCTTTATTCTTAAGCACGTGTGTCATTCTGTGGCCTGGTTCTGCCCATTAAGCTACCGTAAATTGAATTTCATGATGTGGCTGTGTACTTTGTGCCACATTAAAAATTTGGCATACCCAAGAAAATATTTAAAGAAATACAGCTCTTCTCATGCAGCATGCAAACTTATGAAAGTCAATGGTTTGCTCTGTGACTCGCTCTCTTAATGCGTTATCCCTCCCCACTCTCACAGGGGTCGTTGGAGGGCGCTGGTTTACGTTGATCAATGGATTCTAACCCAATTGTTGTTGAAATATTATGTTTAAATAAGAACCATTTAGTACATTGAAATTCTATTAAAATTCTTGGCGGAGGCAAAGACATTTCAATGGACGTTTAATTAAAAGGGAATTTTTGTTCTTATATGTATATTACTTCGTAATCAGTAATATAATAGGTTCAAAATGATTCGATAGTATTTCAATTATAAACATTACACAAATGCGTTTTCTTACAAATTTGGTAACCCGTAAAAAAGAACAAAACATTTCAAGTTCATAAAATAAAATATTTTTTTTACCAGACTAGTGCACTTGAGAGAAGAGGTGAATGAAAACAGTATATTCTCGTATTTATAATGATCTAGACGAATGCTCGTATTCGAAATTCTCGTATTTATAATGATCTTGACGCGGCTCGTCCCAGATAGCCCAGCCAACATAAACTCCGGCCGCGGAAGCCCACGCAACCGATCTAGACGAATACTTTCTTTTAAACAGGAATCAGACAAATCAGCCAAACAGGATCAGACAAAGATATCAATTTCTATTTCTCCTTTCATTTACAATACTACAAAATAATTCATTATGATTCCTAGGAAACGCACAATTAAATTATTCAATTCGCTCACAGCCACTACACGGTTCAGAGACAAATTATTATTTCAATATTGAATACACCAGCAGCGCTCCGGGTATAGGTTCGATTTAAATATGAATTTACTCCTTTGTAAGAGGCTATACATTTTGACAAAATATGCGTATCACACAAAGCAGAAACAAAAAAGGGCAACATGGAACGACGGGAGTTAATTTTCAGGGAACGTACGCTGTTGCATTGTGTTCATATCCTTGCTAATTAACTTCAACACCATTTCCCCCAGTGACTGCTCTCGAACCAATCATTTCGCTCTGGATAATTCGAGTGAGCTTGGAGATTTTCTAGGAAAACTCTTCAATATTGTACTCGTATAGTCTACGAGTCTAAGCTACTCTGTACGTTCGACGTTCTGCCTTTCCGTTCAGGTTAATACAATTTCTTTTAAACTCTACTAAGCAAACCTACATTTTAAAATTTGTGATGATTAAAAATACCCACAAAGATCATATTATATCTCATTATGAATGATTCTTTAATATTTTATTCTCTTTAATCAGTTGTTTTCCCTCAGAAAGGCAATTTTAGAGTATATTTCTAATCACTGTGGTCATCATCTTCACAGAGAGTATAATCTTCAAGATATTTTTTTCAATTTAATTTTATGATGCCTTAGTTTACTTGTCGAAACCGGACCATCAGATCTGCTCTTCCGACTGACCACGCAAATTTCGCTACGCTCTTTCCACCATCTAGCTAAGAAAGAAGGTACCATGGGGTGATGAAACAGGCGATTTGAATTTAGCTAAGAGTATTTTCTTGGGCTTATACATGCAATAATCTCCAACGACAGACTGCCGGCTTTATTCCACCTCCCGGAAGGAAGGCGTTACGAAGGATATAATGATCTTAGAAGGTCGGTGTAATTCGGTATAACAGCTCTGTTATAGCACGCTACCCTGTTATACCACCGAAGCTGCGAATTTTGTTTTTCTCTCCACAAGATGAAATTTTCTCTTTGTTTACCCTTTCTCGTTCCTCACTTTGATCGTCTCTGGGTGCCTCTGAGGCGCAAATAA